TTGTTTTTTTTCTACATTATCACCTAGACAGGTGGTCACCTAAATGGAATGCCATAAACAAAAAAGTAAATCAAAATAAAAACCTTCATGGTTTATTCAAAGAGTCAATTATGTCAGCGGCCAGAATCCAATACCTTCTTGAAATATAAATTCAATTTGAAACCCGCCAAACATTTTTGTTAACAAACTGGACCTTTGTAAATTCATCAGACCTCTGAGGTTTTATATGTTAGAAAGGTTTTGCGTATGTTTACATAAATATTGTTATTTACTTTTAAAAGTATCGGGTTTTGGTGGAATTACAAACCACGTGAGATTGATCTTCTGTTTTAAAACATTAATTGTATTTTATTTTATTTTACTTACATGTCTAAAGAACTTATTATTTTGTACTAACGACAATAAATTTAAGAGACCTTTAGGTTAACACCTACAATTACAAATTCAGGGCTACGTCTAATAATTTTGAAAATAAACAACACGCAACCATTATGCTGTTCAATAGAATATATTCTAGTAATTGGTAGTCGTGCTTATGCACTAAACAAACAAGGCAGTCAAAAAGTATTGTTCATTCACATCGCTAATACTGGCCATTACTGTTGTCATTGGCCGTTGCACGCTTCCATATTTCAATTTGAATTTGGAACAAGCGGGCATTGAAGCGGCAAATACGCAGAGAACGAGTGAATATATAATTTTTTTATTTTTCATAAATTCTTTTTTTTAATTAGATGTAATAGAAAGGAATATTGTTATTACGTATTGTAAATACTACGAGTACGTTTCCAGAAACAGTGCTTACTTACACATAGTACCCTGAATTCTGAAACTAAAATAAGGAACACAAATCCTTCACCATCTCAGGGTTCTGTGTGACTACGCTTGAAACCGCTCGCCCAATGAGTTAGTCATACTTTTTCCACAGTCAGTCATTGATAACACATTATTACTTAAATCACTTTTCTCAAACAATCGGACAGTTACAATCTGATAAACAAATAGATAAATATTGCGTATTTGTTGAATACTTCGAGAGTCGTTGTTTGATGTTTTCTTACTGTCGGAAGATAAAAATTGATTTTGATACGTTTCAATGGTATTTGATTTTATATTTGGTAGCGAATTTATTTACACTAGACAATTCTGTGGACTCTGTGCTATGATATTTATTTAGTAAAAAATCTTGAAGCGAAGAAAACGGTAAGGTTGTAGGGTACACAGAGAGAAATTGGTATGTCGAAGCTTATGTGTATCGTCAGTTTCAAAGGTTTAAAAGATCTTTTTGACTTGATGAGTAAGTACTTAAGTGGGGCGAGAGGGAGTGTTAGAGCCTTATTGAATAAAGTTCTCATGCTCTAGGCCGGGGCGGTAGTACATTATTTCACTTATTTTAACCCCGGCCGCTTGACCCGCAACCCCGGCGCGTCTAAGTAAGCTGGATAACGGTAGTAGTGAAGTTCCTTTTCTAACAAAAATACCTATTTACATGTTTCAAAACCGGTGACGAGGTATGTATAAATTCACGTCTACTTATAAATAATAATTCGAAAATTAAATTCCACTAAACAATAGAACGGCTACTATTAGATCTGTGCAAGTCTGCCCGTCCTTGACTTATTCTAACTTGTTTGGTGCCGGTACACGCCAAGAGTTCCATTGGAAAGTTCTGCATAGGTGACCTCAATGCAGAAACGTACGAATTCATCGATTAAGCGCACCCTGTACCATTTAATGCAGATTTCTATTCACAGATCTGATAGAAGTGGATTGTTAAGAAATAAAAAAACGCTTATCAATATGGATAGTTCTCTGTGTCCTGAATAAGTTTAAAAGTTCTGATTATTCTTTGTGTTGCAATTTTCATCCAACAATAAGAAAAGTAAAAGGGTTAAACACGATAATTTCACCAAGTTTTTGTCTATATTGAGTTTGCAGTGATAGGTTTGTGGTATCTTGGGGCAAACTAAAATAAACAAAAAAAAAAACAATTATCCATAGCCATAAGTAATATATTATAGTACATGTAATTTTTTTTATGTACCTAATAGGTCGGCAAACGAGCTGACCAATAACCTGATGGTAAGCAATCAGCGTCGCCCATGGACACTCGCAACGGAGGAGTTACGAGTGCGTTGCCGACCTTTTAGGGATTAGGGTTTTGGAGATTAAGGGATTGGGAGGAATCGGGGGAGGAGAAGGATTGGGCCTCCGGTAACCTCACTCACACGGCGAAACACAAGGTTTTTCTGTGAGTAAATCTATTTAGTGTCATACCTAATACTCTATCTAAGTGTACCTACAGTTGGAAAGAACTAAAAGACACACACTATAATGAGATAGATATTTAACAAAGTTAAAGTCATCTTCATTAAATCATTTATTAACAATAGACAATTTTGAATGTCAAACAAAATAATTAAATATCAAAAATTGAGAAGTGTTAGTCGGTCGATCTGTTCTCTAGTGAAGCTAGTTGCTGCTAAGAGCAGAGTCCCATGAAGAAGAACGATCAAGAAACTCCGTGGATACACTTTTAAAATCAGTTTCACAATTCAGTACTGTACGTAGGTATATGTCTCCAGGTATTTCTGTTGTTTTCAGACCAGTCGATCAACGAACCTATCAACAAGTTTTATATAACAAACAAGAGATTATAATGACTAATATATTATTTTTCCCAATACACACAGCTGTTAGGTACCCATACAACAAACTGTAATAAGTACCTATAGAAATCTTTTTATCAATGACGAACGCGTTACCTAGCAATTATCTTCATTACATGTTATTCATACGTCCAAGTATAAAGTTGCGTCAGAATAAACACAGTCTGCGATTATAGTCATAGATAATGTTACATCATTCATTTCCTCTGCAAAAACTGTTTTTTATTTTCACAAGCTATGCAATTTTGTGTTTTTATGTGATAGTGCGGCAAAAGTAGTAATTAGGTAGGTACATATAGTAGTAGTATAGTTGTGGGAGAGCCAAGCTTCGGCACGAATATATCGGCTCGACCGGAGTGATACCACAGCCTCATAGAAAACCGGCGTGAAATAACCACAGCATTGTGTTTCGCCGCGTCAGTGAGGTTGCCGGAGGCCCAATCCCCCTTCCCTATCCTTTCCCGATCCTTAAATATCCACAACCCTTATCCCCAAAATACCGCTAACGCAATCGTTGATGGTGTTCATGAGCTCATCATATTTCCTTGAGAATGTTCAATTTAAAAAGAAATTTTTGATTTATTTTTTAACCTTTTTATCATGTCAGTTCGCCTCGGAAGATTTTGATAGGGCTCTAGTTTCTCATTTTTTTTTCTTTAACGTTTTGTATAATTCCTTAAACATCTTATTACCACACATCGACATTCAAAGACATTTAAAATTATATAATCCTTACAATAAAAATAGAATGCCTAATTTTCATTCTATTTAGCATCGAACAGGAAAACAGTGTCTTTGGGCAAACAAAAAGACAATCTAGATGTTACTCAACATTTTCTATAAGCTTTACTATGTAGGTATTACATTGAGAAGACTAGCCGCTCGCTTGGTTAGATTTGATGGCTTGCTTGGGACTGAGACGTCGAAGGTCCAAAGCTAATGTTCCATGTAGAACACATTGAATAGACTGTCAATATGTATGTCAGTAAGCTGTGGACGTCAGTTACTTTCTGTTGAAGATAAACGTTCGAGAAAGTAAATCGTGAAGAAAAATGTGGTTGGGAGAAAAAAGGTTGTGTAGAACTAGGTACACTGCTTGTAATGTAGATGCGAATGTTTCTGTAGAAGTGTTTGTGAGTTATACATATGTATATATATTTTTGTGTAAATACAGTATTTATGTATCTGAGTATATATGGAGGTGTGTATGTATTTTATAAGTATTTATTTATGGTTAATTTATTGTACACTAGATTGACACCCATTCCGAGGTTTCTTTTATAATTTTCCATCCAAAATTTGTCTGGATAAAATCATCCCGTGTGATAAGACCGCCCATTGTACGCTCTATAGTTAATTAATAAGCCTGTTTTTTGTGGATACCTATGTGATAATAAATATGTGCAATTAAGTATAAAAATATATATACATAAAAATATAAATCTCATCACTTTTAGAAAAGGATTTTCCATATTATTAATAAATTAATGAATATATTATAAAAATATTTATAGCACCAGAATACTACTCAGGCCTAATAAATTTTGTTTATGTTCCTTCATTGTTTTTAAATCGTTGAAATAACACTGAGATCCCGCCATCCCAGTTCACTTGCATAAGTAAATAAATGAAAATATTAAAAAATAGAATCCGTAATAACATTTAAATTTAAACATGATATTAAAATTATTCAAATACCTATTCACAGCAAATAAAGTAGCTAAGTTTATTAAATGTGGCTTCGGATTTTAAATTATTTCAGAGAAAAATGAACCGTCTTACGTTTTGAGAAAACTTAGATCAAATTCAAAAATTTGAATAAATAAATTCATATTAGTTCAATTTCAAATTTTAAATGGAATATTATTTGAAAACGTTTTTTAACGAGAATTGATAAGCTAAATCCCTGAGATTAGACTGTCTGTTAGCCTTATCTGAGATGGCTTTTGAGATGTGGAAGTGTACCGCGGGTATCACCATATTTAAAACTCACGATTTAATATTGATTTTATCTTGAAATTCATTTAACACCGTTTTTTACTACACACTTATTTATCAAATTATATTCATTTAAATGTGTAAAAAATCCTTCTATCAAAATAATTTTTAAGTATTTTTATTTACTTATATAAATGCTGTAATAGATTTTAGGAAATATCAGTCTTGATACATTATTTTGAACAATACGTTATTTAAATATTTATTTTTTTAATCCGTCAATTTTCTTGCAACCTTTATTATATTTACCACATAACAGAAAATGTTTGCACAGCACAAAAACTTAAAAGAATCATTTAAAAAAGTTTATAAAAATAACAATGAAAAACTCACCAATAAGACGATCCGAAGAAATCAAATCAAAATATTAATTCACGAAACTTTTCAAACAAAACAAAAAGTCGCACGCAATTAAAAATATTTCTTAAGAGCACAGATTGAAAAAGTTTTAAAACAATATTTTGAATTTTGTTAGGAAATTATATTTGGAACAAAGTTTTCGCGCGTACGTTTCCGTTAGACGGGCCGTCAAGTCGTCTTCACGCACCAATGTTCAATGTGAGACTGGTGCTGTACTGTAGCAGCTGCCCGTCCGCTGACACGATGATACGTCACGGTATTAAACGAAAGCCCTATTTTCCCCATTCCTGACTGGAAGAGGAACTGAAACAACGGTTTCCCAAAATATTTACCCACCATCACATTTTAAAATATTGGATTTTCCGTCGCCATCTTTCGTGCTAGAATTCGATATTTAAATCTCGCGCGAAACTGACACATGTTTAGCGTTCTTTTTTTCGGTGCATATTCTTAGCAGCCAGTATTTTTATTTTTTTGTATTTTGTGGAAAAAGTCTCGGACTATGTTGTAATACTTTTTTATCTTGACGATTACTAATCTTATCTGTGACTTAAGAGTTGTTACCTAAGCAATTACACAAATGATATAAATTGAACTATACTGAGTTATGTGTGAGTACTTAATGCTATTTAATTAGAGATATTTGTTTGAAGATATTGTACACGTTTTTACGTATTCTATTTGAAGAGCTATTTTTTGCTACGTAATTGCTTAATCTTTTGAGTGTTTTGTAGATACTTTTCTTAGCTTCTGTCTAGAAGTCTAGAATTCTCCTTATGTTATTTTTTTTGCTATCGAGATATTAATATTGACGTGTTTAAATATTTATATTAAGTAATTTTATGATTTTATTAGACTAATGAAGCTTTGTTTAAACGTGAGAGTATATTTTTGGTGTCCTATCAAGATGATTTATAAATGAGATATTTTTGTGACAAACCTTTTTAAAAGGTCAACGGAAAATGTTAAGTACATACCTACAAGTTAATTTTGAAGCCGATAAGTCGACTAATATTTGTTTAGCTAGAACATATGTAAATATATCGAAAAATGTTGTTTTTTTTTTATTTATGCTGATTATCAACATATCCTAGTCATGTATGATCACATATGAAAAGCATAAAATTATACTTTGGATACAACAGAAACATGCTATTACGCATGGCACATAATTCAGTTAAAAAATACAACAAACCCGTTTAAAAGAATAAAAATCGTTGTATTCGAAATTTTCGCTCCCAACTGGAGATTAACTCTCGATTGACATCGAGACGTGGGATTATATCGAATCAACAGCATTTCATCGAAATATCATGTTTAAATCGATTCCTTCCCTTTTATCACGAAGTCAGCAGTAAGGATAAGCCTGAAGTTATTATCGGTTGGTTAGATATGGTCGCTTTAGGGTCCTTTCAAAACCCCTGGCTTTGATGAATATCATGATATTTAATGGTAAAACTGACACGGCTATGGTAAATGTTTGGGTTTGATTTGGACCTTATATATGGTACAATAAGGGTGGTTTTCAAATTAACGAAAGTGTAAATACCTTCATAAGTAAGGGAAATGTACGACTATGTGTGGTCGGCTATGGATTGGAGCTAAGAACGTCACTATTTAGATGTAATCTAAGACACTTTGAAAAACTGTTTCCATTTCAAAGAAGGTTTTATTTCGTAAGCATGAAAAATCCTTTAATTCCATCCCATCTTGTGATATTCACAATCCGTCTCTTTTATTTTTCCAAATAGGTTTGACTGACATCTACTACATAAAGCTATCCAAAACTGTGAAATTTTAACAGCCGATTTTCAACTTCATTCTTTTTCGAATACAGTCGAAATTAAATCGATGATCTTCTACCGTTATCTGATATTTTATGTACGAGCTATGTCTACATTTCACAAAATGGATTTCTATGTTCTCTCGAAGCTCTTTGGTGCAGTTTTTACAATTGTTTTCAAACAACGCTGTTTGTAGTAGTGAAATATTATAGGGAACTTACTAAGCAGTAATTTGACCTATATTCTTTGACTGACTTCGCTCTTCAAGTTATGCTAGTGATAGCTCTTCTAGTTGGTAAAAGTTTTGTTTTTATAATTCTTAAATATATGTAGTAGGTACATTCTAAGTAAACACTTGGTCTTTTTTTATGTGACGGAAGGCAAGGCATAAGGTGGATTACCTGATGGTAAGTAATCAGCACCGCCCATGCACAATAGCGTGCGTTATCGAATTTTTGGGGATTAGGGTTTTGGAAATTTGGGGATTGGGGTAGGGAAAGTAAAGAATAGCCATCCGGTAACTTCAGGCACACGGCTAAAAACAAAGCTGTGGTTATTACAATCGCTTTTTCTTTTCGTTTATATCATTCCAGTCGGGTTGACCCATTCGTGCCGAAACATGGCTCTCCCACATTTAAAATAAGAAAAAAAGAACAACTGATACACGAAGGATTGTACGTGACCTCGCTTGACTTTATTTCAAGGGTAAATTAAACAATTATTTATTATTAATTAAACAATATGTCTGACTTATGTGACGTAATGATAACCTCTGCAAGGCTAGTGCTTCATTACATTTATCATGTCACGTCAGTTCAACAGTCCGGTCTTCAACCCACGACCCTTTGGCGTAAAAAACGCCGGACCATTGTTTGTATACATTCCATTGACTTTTTTTATTAAACGGTTTTTCTTTGCAAAATATAGTTGTCTTAAATATTAATTAAATATTGTTGTAGCATTTACAAAGATGGAATTCCTCATTGTATAGATTTGGTTAGTTTTGTGAGGGATTTGTTTACACGGTCTCGGCTTTGCAATTGCCCACTGCTGAGCAACGACTTCTTCTCAGACGGAGAAGGTTTGAGCATGAATTACCACGCTTACTCAAGGCGGATTGGCAATTAGAAATTATAATTATAAATGAAAGGTCCAGATTTTAATGATCTTAGAAAGTACATTTTTTTTGTGAGGGGAAAATCATCAAATGACTTCTCCCGCCCAGGGTCGGGCGGGAGGGAGTGTCAGACTCTTATTGACTAAAAACCCCCCTGTTCCTTCTCCTGCTCTGGGCCGAGGTCGTGGTGACTCATTGATTGCTTACCCCGCAACCCCGGCTGAACATCAGCCCTATAGGGCCACGAATGGACTTAGAAAGTATTTGTAACTTACATAGGTACTTGCCAAGTTCCGGACACCACGAACGCTTATCATGTATTCATAAACCTCCGGACCACCACGGCGTTAACACAAAAACAAAAACTAACTTGAAACAATACGGAAAATAGGTTAGGTACTAAGTAACACGTTCTCTGACCGCGTTTTCGTTCATATTATTTGAGCTTCAGAACAATATCACTTAACAAATGAAAGTAAAATAAACAAAGCCGCCATTAATAAAGTTCAACAATAAACTCGAAACGTTTTAAATGATCCCTTGTTGAAACTAATACCTTTACTAATTAATTATTTTAATTAATTAAGTAATACATACAATGAAATCATTGAGTGGCCTTTGGATATGAGGTTATTATTCGTTTGTTTCTCGTTTCTAATCTTTTGTTTTTTGTTATCGAATCTCTAATAAAATATGGATGTGTTTTTGATTTTTTCATTTTGTCTGAAAGCTTGTATTTATTTAAAATTAGTTTTTGCCCGCGACTTTTGTTCACGTGGAATTGTGACTTCCTGCAGATTTTTGGTTTCTCGAATTTCAAAGTATGTCTGTACCAAATTTGGCACAAATAGGTTCAGTAGTTTAGGGGTGAAGAAAAGACAGACAGAGCATACTACACTTACTATACTATACTTTCGCATTTATATGATTACTAGTTCTTACCCGCGGCGTCGCTCCCGTCATTTGACTACCTACCCTACTCTACCTACCCTACTTTACCTACCCTACTTTACCTACCCAATTCAACCTACCCTACTCAACTTACCCTACTCTACCTACCCTACTCTACCTACCCTACTTTACCTACCATACTCTACCTAACCTACACTACCTATTTTTCGTGATAGTGATAGTGGTTTTCTTTAAGACATGGGTCAAGGAAGGACTAAAATGGATAGAATGATGAAGATCAATAATTAAATCTAGCAAGTTGACGGCCAGAATGTTTGCAATACAGGGCAGGTTTGATTCCTTAGAGTATCGTATAAAATAATCTATAGACCAAGTCCTAAAACTTACCTAAGTCATTACAATGATTATATTGAAACATTAATCTTTTAACACCAATGAGTTAATCAATGACAAGAAATAGCAAATACTGAATAGACTTTTAACACGCACTATGTAGGCTGGGTTGTTTATTAGAGATCCTTATTCAAGCTCCATGATTGTTTTCGTACTTAAAAAGAACTGAATAAAATGTGTTTTTTAAGATGTGTCGTGGCTATTCTGTAAGTTTTCTACAACTGATCGAATACAAAAAATAGGATATAATGAACAAAAATGACTCAAAGAATTTCAAGACCTACATAGACATCATCTTCCTATCACTGCCCATTGTTGAGCACAGGTAACTTCTTACGCGCTTTGAGCATAAATTAAATATTGTCTAAATATAATAAGAAGTCCTAATTTTATCACAATGTATTCCTTCACCGTATATCAGAGGTGTCGAAATCAATTCAAAAAGTACATCGGAATATGACAAACGATTTTTGCCAAGTTTTAATCCACAGCCTCATGAATGAGAATCGGCTACCTCAATATTTAGGTCACTACGACTCTCAAGACTAACGGAGAAAAATATTTTGATTTTATGACCAACAAATTATTAATAAAAAAGGTATAATTTTCTTATCCCAGTTATACGGAATGCCTAGCTTGCATATGACTCAGTCCTATCTAAATTTTCTAATAATCTGTTAGAGAGTCTTCACCTTGTCTTGTCTTTGATAAATGGTTTGAATTATTGTCCTATTAATTAGCTCTTTGTAGTTTACCTTTTGAAGTTTTATATTAAGTTCGAGTAAGTTCATTTCTTTTTATTTGTTACTTATTTAAGTAAATTACCAAGATGACAGAAGCTTTGCTCGTTTTCTTTTGTTTTACGTCATCACAACCCTTTTTAAGTACATAACAACTCCAAAAAAATTGCATCGAAAAATGCTTAACTGGTCGTTTAAAATCTCGTTTGATTGCTAATCTGATGTGTTTTTATTTTCTGCAAGCTACCTTGCTTCATTTTTTTAACATTGAAGATTGGAACTCATGATGCCTTTTGGATACATCATCTTTATCATCTTTTAAACTACTGAAGTTA